AGCAAAAAAAAAAAAAAAAAAAAAAAATCCCCCCAAAAGATGAGGAAATAGGGGAGCAAAGATGTACAGATGGGGGTATTGAATCTTGCTTAATAAATTGGGAATAGCCTAAATGCTCATCACGAGGGGATTAGTTTAACAAAGTATGGTTTACCTCTCTGGAAAAAATAGCTGGTAATATGCATTTAGAAACGGGCCATCTGTGTGAGATAATGCACTGCTCTAGAAAAGCTGGATCTGGGACCAGCAGTTGGCATAATGGCTATGTCGCTGGACTCCCACAAAGTCGACCGCGGTTCCAGTCCCGGACCCGGTGGCTTAAACTCACGCTGGGCGCATGTGCGTGCGTGCCCAAGATCCCGAGAGGAGAATGGAGGAGAAGGGATTGTGGCACAGCCATCCCCCCTGGGGAGTGATTTTTTGCTTTCTGTCTCTCTGTCTCTGTCTGTCTGGCGCCCTATAGCAAAAAATTCTCCCAAAAAAGAAAAATAAAAAAGAAAAGAAAAGCTGGATCTGACATGGGAAACAGGTTCAAGTCCCTGGCCCAGGCAGTCTAAGACACGCCAGGCATGCCTAGGAGTGCCTAGGATTCCCCGGGCTGGACTGGAAGGGACTGAGGTGTGACTGGACCTGTGAAGGGTGCGCCTCTCCCTCTCTCACTTGCACGTGTGCCTGGCAGGGCACGTGCACTTTGCTAAAGAGGAAGTGAGAAATCATCCCCTAGGGGTCCAGTTGGACCACACTGCAATCCCTTCTCCTCTCGGGATTTGGGGCACACATGCATACACACTGGCATGATTTTCAAGCTGCCAGATTCAGAACTCAAACCACAGTCAGCCATGTGGGAGCCAGGCACCTTAACCACCATGCCACTTGCTGGCTCCACCAAAAAATGTTAAATTGTGCAGAAAACGGCGTACTGGCACACGGACGTACTGTGTCCTGCTCTGCTGCGAGACACACGCGCTGTGGGGACTTTGGTGAGCCGTCTCCTCTCCCTGCTCTCAGACTGTCATCGCCTTCTGTAGAAAACGTGACCAGGACTTGTACTGGTAGCTGTTACGCCAGGCTTTGAGGCAAAGATCCTAGCTCTGCATGCCAAAATATCAACAGACTGTGTAGAAAGTTAAGGTGATTTTTTTTTTTTTGAGAGGTTTTCGCTATAGGGCGCGTGCGCTCGCCAGACAGACAGAGAGAGACAGAGAGACAGAAAGCGAGAAATCACCCCCCAGGGGGGATGGTCATGCCGCAGTCCCTTCTCCTCCATTCTCTTCTCGGGATCTTGGGCACGCACGCATGCACACGCGCCCAGTGTGAGTTTTAAGCCACCGGGTCCGGGATGCGAACCTCGGTCGACTACGTGGGAGTCCAGCGACATAGCCATCACACTAACTGCTAGTTCCCAAGGTGATTTTTTTAAAAGGCAGGGCAGGCTAGAAGGGCCTGCCTCTCCCTGTGCCTCCACCCTCCTGCCTCAGCCTCCTGAGTCCCTGGGATGATGGGCATGGCTACCTCCCTCCAGTAAGTCCAGGAGGTCCCCCATGCAGCCCCTACCCGAGGAGCATAGCAGTTGGGCCAATGGGTGACTTTTCTGTTGCACTGATTCCCGTGTTAGCCTGTTTGGATGGACCTGGGACCCTCGGCAGAACGCTCACCTCCATAGGCTCCACACCCTCCCTGGCTGGCTGACCCATGCTTTACTCTGGCTCCAGTCACACGTGCACACGCACGTGCACACGCACATACACACCACCTGGGTCCTGTGGGTGACCCGGACACACCAGCTGTCCCTGCAGAAGTCAGGGGTTGTAACTGGGAACCTGCTACCAAGGGCTTCAGTTTCCTCTTCTGCAAAATGGCAGAGGGTAGGCTGAGTCTCCCAGCAGGTCCTGCTGGCCCTAGCTCTGATCTAACCCTCCCGCCACCACCCTGCAGGCCCCACCAGTACCTTCTGGAGCTGCAAGTGGCTCAGGCAGGCCATGGGGACGATGCTGGGTGCTGTGTGTTGTGCCTATGCGGCCTGGAGAGGAGAAAGTTCACCGGGAGAGGAGAAAGTTCAGCATGGGATACTGCGAGGCCCAGGACTTAACCCTTCCCTACCCGGAGGAAACCCAGCCTCACAGACCAGCCTGGGCCCTCCAGACTGAGCCTACTCAGGGCTGAACCCCAACCCTCTCCCCCTCACTCCGGCCCCTGGCCCTCCCACCTCCAGCTAATCCAGGATTAGCCCTCCCCTATCTCCACGCTTTTTAGCCACTCCAGTTTCTTTCCAAAGACCACTCCTGGCTGGCTGCTTACCAGGTGCCTGAAGCGAAGCGAAGCGTGGCTGGCAGGAGGACCCCCAGTCCCAGGCCAGGTCTCACCACAGGCTGGGACTCTGGCCAGTGCCTACCCTCTCTGGGTCACAAAAGAGGACCAGGGGTTCAACATCTGGGTAGGGCAGGACGCAGGCTCAGGAGGGGTCTGGAGGGCACTGGCTCTGAGGGGTTCTGCATTCGGAAGGCTTAGAGGTCCTGGGAGGAGACTCGTCTCAGGGCCCTCCCACCTCTGTCCTGAACCCTCCAGGTCCTGGGGCTCAGAGGTCCTGGGAGGAGACTCATCGTCAGGGCCCTCCCACCTCTGTCCTCCTGAACCCTCCAGGTCCTGGCAGGATTAGCCAGGGAGCTAAGGGCTTGAGCTGCAGCTCAGAAGCAGGTGGCATGAGGGCCGTCCTAGAAAGAGGAAGGGGCCAGAGTGGGGCCAGGGTCTTCAGAATGAAGGGGAGCGGGAGGTGGCCCCTGTTCCCCATGCAGGGGCCAGACGTGAGACACCTCCTGTTGGCTGGCACAGGGCCCTTCCAGCCTGCCCTGCTTACAAACCGACAGGGACGCTCTGAAAAACCAGCCACTGGCCTTCCCGAAATGAAGCTTTCTAAATGGCGAAGGGACAGAGTGTCTCAGGAGAGCGGGGACGCTGCTCAGCTCTCAAGAGGCTTGGCTCTGAGTCAAGTCTTGAGAGCTTGCTAGGTCACTGCACTGGGAAATTGCTCTGTCCAAGCTGCACAGGCTCTGGGGGGCCCAGGGGAGGAGCGGGCCTAGCCAGGTTTAGGGGAAGAGGGTCAGAGGGGTTGGCTGGGTGCCAAGGTGGGGCGCAGTTCCAGCTGTCCTAGCCCCTCCTGATGAAACCTCCAGCAAAAGCAGCCACCCACCCTGTGC